TGTTGTTCATGCTCATTTAAATTTTTTTAAGTCAAATATGTAGGCCCAGACAAGGTGTCCCAATTCCCAATACATTAATGCATACATACCTGTTAGTTTGTCGTGTACCTATTGCCTACAATTATCAAACACATACTAAATTACCAATTATTTTTCTTTCTTGTTTTGAAATGGTCTCTGTCCACAACCAGTTGTAAGATAATTCATTTCATCTGTTGTTTATTCTTATCATCTTGAAATACTGAACACACATCACACATCACGCCCAAAGTAAAATTTCTTTTATATAATTTTCAGCCTCCATAAATTATACTTCGAAGAAAAGTATTAAATTTTTTCCATACCTTGATACTGAGATACCTTTTGAGTTGCAAAAATCTACTGGACTGCTGCAATTCGAGCAATAAATACGCCGAGATTCCCTGCGAGTAGTTCACTGTCAGAATCAGCCACCAGAGCTCCAAAGAGACGCAAATTCGTCGTAGTCCACCACGGTGCTACTGCTGCCGTTGGTCAGGCCCCGGTCGAGGCCTCCACGACGATCTTTCTCTCTTTGGTGATGAACTTTTTCTTGCCTCCTAAAGTAGCAGAAATAGTGAAATCTTGTTTCCTTTTCTTGTTTGTGCTAATTAGGACCTCTTTTGGTTGGAAGGGGAAATAAAATGGCTTATTGGTTGGTAATTTAAAATTGAGGTTGAGCCTATTGATTAAGCTCATCTCTGCTGCCAATACAACTACACAATAACTTTTAATTATTTTTTATAAAGACTCATCTGTGCTTGCTTGGTTTCTATATTTAGGAAAATCATGATTTTTCTGGCATGGAGTATTGTTTGAGGAAGATGACGATTTGTATATTTTGATTTCTGATACAGAGGATCGTCCATAAGACGCAACTGTAGAGCATACTCTCGACATATTACAAAGCGAGCTCTATAGGGTAGAGACTCGTGCTGATAACGTGTTATAAAACTAGAAGAAAAAAAGAGAGAATAGAGAACATGTATTCTCTTGGAACAATTTTCATTATAACTGAAGCTCTTATTTATAGGAAACTTCTGATGGCACAACCGTAATAATACAATTACATCAGGGGCAAAATAGTCATTCACATACATTATTTTATAATAAAATTAATGGTGGTGGACCTTATATATTTATAACATTATTATTATTATTATTATTATTATTATTATTATTATTATTATTATTATTATTATTATTATAAATGAAATTTAATGAAAGGGGAAAAAAGTCTTATTTGTCTAAATACAAGAGTGAGTAGAAATAAGACTTTCAATTCAACTTATTGAGAGAAGTGAGCCCCATTGGAGGGCATTATTTTACCTTTGGCCAAGAAAATTAAAAGCTATTTTTTTTTAATTCCAATTCAACTTCAACTTATTGAGAGTGGTGGGGCCCATTGGGGCATCGTATATGTATTGTTCTTGGCCCAGAAAATGAAGTCATGAAGTTTGAGAAACTTAACTTCAAACGAAAGTGAGATTTTATTTGTAAAAACATGAAATATTAATTATGACAGTTGAGTGGAACTAGAATTGAGCAGATTTGTAGGAAATTGTGCAGATCTTTATTACCATTATTCCTTCATTAATCGTGTAGATCACTCTCTCTCTCTCTCTCTCTCTCTCTCTCTCTCTCTCTCTCTCTCTCTCTCTCTTTCTCTCTCTCATCCCTGCTATTTTTCTTCCTTCTCTATCTATTTCTTCACGTGGCGGCTCAGAACACATAAAGGCAAGACGGAATCGACAGCCAAGTATCACTCAATTTTCCTATCACCCTTTTAACGGTGGTGGCTGAGAAGGTCGTGACCGGGTAAGAGTCGCGATTGGAGTTTTGTATGGCCGGTAACAAAGGCGAATTGAAGATCATTGGTTCTGATAGCAGTTGGACGATTGGAGGATTCACCTCTACACCATCAAAGATGCACCAGAGCTCTTGATGATTCTCATAAATGGTTCTGATGGCGATTCGAAGATTCCCCCGTGCACCGTCGAGGATGCACCAGGGCTCGTTGAGGAGATGAAGGGGTGACGTGGGGAGTGGCGAGGTCAATCAATCATGTTTGAGAATTGTTTATGTGTTGTTTATCTTATGTATAACTAAATTCAATTTGGATTTTATAGTCTTTCAGATTTGTTTAATATGTTTAATCCCGTTTCAGAATTTGTTTATATGTTATTTATCTTATGTATAATTGTACGGTTAATAATAGAAAACTGTCAGATCATGTTTATCTGATGTATATATACCGTATATCTGAACATATATTTGGTGGTCGGACGATTGTTTTTTTTTTTTTTCTTTTTTTGTATGAATCAAGTTCATGTCCTATGTCGGAAAAGAAAGCAACAGAGATCTCTCCTCAGTTTCGTCTAAAATTTTGAAATTCCCAAATACAAAGACGGTTACTCCAATTATTTAGTATGATTTTCTTTTTTTGAAACGTCTGTTTGATGCGAGTTTTATGGAAAGGTTTGGTAATCTTAATTGCTGCGAGTATTATGGAAAGGCTGAGAGAATTCGTAAAAACAAAAATATATTTTGCATGATGGCCTTAAATGATAAAAAATTTCTTTCCAATCGTAAATCTAAAAATAAGTATAATAGGCATAGTTATGTAAATTTCTCATGATTTTTATTAATTGGGTTGGCCTTATAAAAAGTGATTTTTAATATATTATATATAATAATAATTTATTTATGAGCATAAATGAGACACCATTTTGTAAATGGGCCTTGGGCCATCGCCCAGCTTGCCCTAGCCCAGGGCCGGGTCTGCGCATGATTTTGAAATTACACAATTTGGCAATTTAATATTATTGAATTAAATCATTGAAAAAAATATATACATAATCCAATTGCACATCCATCGAAGTAGGATATGTCTCTCGATTGGGTATGACGAACTAGCTCGCTAACCAAGAATTTGTGAGTAGCATCTCCCCATGTGTACTCACAATTGCGAGTAAAATTCAACAGCTAATTGATATAAAACAATAACAACAACAACAACAACAATTACCCTAATTGATATAAAACATTTTCATTTCACAAAAACACCAAATTTATCAATAAAATCATACCAAAATTCAATCAGCATACCAAAATAAAAAAATTTGGGATTTCACAAATTTGGCATACCAAAATGAAAACACCAAATTCATTTCGCAAAGCCCTAATTAATAAAGAATTCTAATTCAAAAACATACCAAAATAAAAAATATGAACCCTAGACATGTAAAGAGCCCTAATTTATCAATAAAATCTCAAATTCGAAGTGCATTAGCATCAACCACATCCCAAATTTTGAAAAAAATTGATTTTTTTCTTGATTCAAATATTTTGTAAAAAAATCTCACCTTGCTTACGGTTTTGGACGAGGAGGACGGTTTGTAGGATGTGGATTTTTTTTTTCGAGCCCGCCATTATCAAATGTTAATCTTTTTGGCCGAAAAACAGAGGGCAAGCTTCCTGGATATATGGCCGGCGACGGGAGGGGGAATCGTATTCAGAGATGGAAGCGTGTCCCGACGAATTTGAATTGACGATGAAATTTTTAGAGAGAGATAATCGGCGATGAACGGAGAGAAAGACGATCGGCAAAACAAACGAAGAGAGAGATGAAAGAGACCATGAAATTAAATGATTTTCAGGTAATTATTTTTTAAAACAAAATAGTGATTTACCCCACAGTTTCACCTTTTTATAATCACATCAATGCTACCAAATCTTGAACTCCACCTCTTTCACCATTTTATAATTACATCAACAATTTTAAAATGTAAAAACTCCTCATTTCGTTTTACCACTATCTTCATT